TAATCTTTTTTTCTAGGTTTTCAATCTTAGATCTAATTGCACGATATTGTTCTTAAATGTTGTCCCTAGGTCATGCCGGTCTAATTTTGTGGATATTTATCGTGGAATTTTTGTACAAAGCAAATATTGTCGTCACGTATACCAAAAATTAACAAAAATATTAATTTTTTTTCGTTTTCGATATAAATTTGACCACCATGCCCTAGATTTTGATGCGTACTTTAATTCTAGACAAGAATTTTGCATTTCTATAAAGTCAATTAAAAGATTAGTGCTAAGAAAAAAAGCCGGTATTACAGACGGCTTTAGGATCCCCTTAAGAACATATCTGCGTGATATGGTTCGCTTTCAAATGGTCCATGGAGTTTGACGCAGCTGAAAGTGCGTTACGTGTAAGGCTCTAAAATACATTTCGAAAAATTATCGCGAGCAAAGTATCCGGCAGTAAGGATAATAAAGCTACAATCTTGCGACTCACGTTAACGTATTTACATCTGAAATCAATTCTGATGAGGCTGTACTCCAACCCGAATTATCCACGGTAAATTTTTACAAATTAAATCAATATTATATATCTGAACCATGCATGCATGAAATATAGTAAGATGCGATTCGTTTACTAGGTGCTCGAGTACTTATGCGTAATATGACGCGTTACAAAAGAAAACGCGTTGTTGATATCCATTTTATTATAATATATACCGTAAATAAATGTATGTGTATAAATCGCAGTTACATGCCAATCTACCAAATGGAAGGATTCTGAACGCACAGAATGCATTAAAAGTGACGGACACAAGTAGAGGCAACGTAACTTTTTCTTTCTGAAATACGACTTTCATATAATTCGATGTACCAAATAATTCAAAAACATGGACAATCTTAATGGACAAAAGGAATTCAAAATTCAATGTGCTTCTTACATGCTATAGATATAAAATAATAGTGCATTAAAATGCGTGATCTGATAAATACGATGATGATAAATACGACGATAAATCTGTGTTACACAGTTGCCATATAATGTAGAAGATTAAAAGCACTGACGCAATAATATACCTAATATAAAAGTCGATAAAAATACACGATATTACACAATAATTCACGATAAACTATATAATAATATATTTAGTTTTCACTAAAAAATTTGTTATTTAGGCCATGCCTGCGAAATTGTTTCGCACATTTGCATATTTGTGAGCGTGTAGTTCCAAAAATAAATTCCTCCAAATCAAAAATCGCAGAAAACTTAGATTTTCTTACGATCATATGTAGCTTGGCATGCTACAAGGTGGTCGTTAAAAATTATAATTATTTATTATTGCAATAAATTTCCTCTGTTTCAAAATCCTCTATTCTATACATTTTTTTTACTCTAGCTTAGAGTCGCTTCTTTCTAACATTTTTCTCTTGCGCTGTTCTCCTATTACTGTACTATTTATCACGTACCAACGTGACCATATATCTGCTTCATTAGAACTAGTATGAGAACTGAGAAGCAATTACATTAAAGAAAATGTTGACTGGGCCTTTGATAAGCTTGGAAATAAAGATAGTTTATGCTTGCAATGTTTTTAACGTTGCAACGTTAAAAACATTCAAAATTTTATGCATTGTTAACGATAAAATACTCAATTCAAAAAACAATAAAAGAATCAATCAAAAAACACGAAGAATTACAATAATAAATTCGAGTGATAAAAAGAGAATCGTGAAGCTAGTAATCCGATAAGGATTACTGTATGAATCACAAATTAATTTTCGAGCGTTCTGCGAACATAATACATACTTTTCCTTTTGGTTTTTACTTTAACACATAGTTTCGGAAGCGGGGGCAGGTACGGTGCTCAGATTTTTGTCGCTCGGGTCGGTTGCCTCAGGGTCGCAGATCGGCGGTCGCGCGAGCGTTTGCTCGATCTCACGGGTGACGCTGATTGTTGGCGTTGGCCGACGAGGGTCCTCCTCGATCGCGGAGGCGCGACACAGCTGGCGGTGGTCGCTGGACACGTTGAAGAAGCACGCGATACCACTAGCCTCATCCGCGTGTGCGTTCGACGGCCCATCGTCCTCGTCATCATCGTGGCCGCGATAACGTCGCTGAATTAGATCTTCCATCTGTTGATAATCGCATTCCTCCGCGTCGCGCAGGTGTTCGTTCTCGATCTGCCATGCCATCTCGGGATTCGATATGTCCGACATGTTGTGCATTCGCGATGGCGGCGGCGAAAGCGGCGGCGTTCTCGGTGGGCTTAACAAGCCGCAATAACTTTCGAGCTCATCCGTGATACTGGTATACTCGGCGCGCATTGTCAGCAGAATCGATCTCTGTCCACTCCCAGCCGAGGTAACGGATGACGGGATCACGGCCACACGAGGTTCCGCCCAAGTCACGGCCCTCTGGATACCGGGCGGAGGAAGCAGCATAAAATCGTCTGATTCCGATCGAGTTCTGCTATTTTGCCTGAATGTACCACGTTCCGTGGAATCTTGCCTGAGCGTACGTTCTGTCGAGTCCTGCCTGGTATCTGAAGGCGGATTCTCGCTGCTGGCCTCTTTGCTAGCCTCCCTGCTGGTCTCCCTGCTGACTTCTCTGCTGGTAGCCTCGATACTGATTTCTCTGCTCATCTCTCTGCTCACTTCTCTGCTGGTGTCCCTGCTGATTCCTTTCTCGCACGGTATACCCTTCTTGCCAACCGTTTCACCTTCAACAACGTCTTTGGTACCTTCCATTTCAAAGCTGGTAATTGTCTTGACATCATCCTGACCGACGTGAGCGTCTACACTTACGGAAGAATCGTGTCTGCTGAGATTTTCACGGGAAGTCATGGTCTCGGACGTCTTGAGAATGTCATCTATCGGGTGGCCGACATTCAGGAAAGTAGCATCGGTGAGAGATCGTAGAAGCCTCTTGCGCCGCGCGATCGTCGGCAACTGCGTGTGAGAATCCGCCTCGGATAGAGCCTCCGATCGCTCTGATACCCGACGCTGCCGAATGTTATCAAACGCGTCTAAACCGGCTAGTTCTTCATTCGGCATGTACGTCGCCATGAAACGATGAATCACCCCAAGATGTGCTAAAGTTTGTTGACTTAGTTCTTCCAATTTGCGGATACGAAATTCGACGGCCTGTAAATATGAAAATGATTTTGTATACAGAATGTAGCAAAAAGAATAAAAAAAAGGTCCAAGACTCTAGAGACGTATAATATTCGCCAAAAAAATTAAAATGTTCAATCGATTCTCGGTTTTGGTAATACAGATTGCTTGTTAGTATCTTCGCATAAATTACTCTCGTTATATATAATAAAAATATTAAAATAAGATTATCGAAAAGTATTTGCGATTATCGAAAACATTTTGCGAGTTTTCGGTATAAAAAATGTAATTATCCATATTATCAAAACTAAATATTGTTTCTGTCTTTGACATGGTTAATTTTTCTATATTAATTAAATATTTTTTGCTTCTTCTAATGAGTACTATACATATTCTTAAAAGATTGGATTTTCTTTCGGTACTCTACCAAGAGAAAAAATATCTAAAGTGTGTAATAAAATCTATTTATTATACAAGAAGTTATATACCTGAAGAGACGCGTTCTGATTGCTCTCTTTTTTATCGATATCCTCTATTTTCTGATGCATATTCTCTACTCGATCTGTTGTAATTTTCACGCGCTCCTCCGTGGACATTTGCAGTTTGAGTTCCTGTTCACGGAAATAACCCTCAACGCAATCCTCCTCGAAGTCGTACAGTCGTTCCATGTCGTCAGCCTCCAGGAACAATTTCAGCCCATTGTCACAGGTCTCGCCGGTGCCGCTTTTACCTTGCGTAATGTGCTTCAGAAAATATCTCAGCAGTAAATATACGTGGCAAATCGCTATAAGCGGCGGCGGCAACACTGGTTTCTGTTCATATTCCATAACGACGGTAAACCGTTGAAACATCCAGACTTGATGAGCTATAGCATTTACCTCATTGAAAATATTGTTAAATACCGCAATTAACAGATTTATCAGCAAAATATTGGCAACTAAAAGATACACGGACATTGCAGCAGGTGTGATCCAACGACCTGGAAGACACTGCATCATTCCCGGCTCATCCCCGCAATCAGGATCTATATTATCCGCGTACACTTCTCCATATAGCATAAAGTATGGCTCCATAAATATCTACCAAAAAAAGTATAATAATTATATGTATGTATAATAATTATATGTAATTAAAAAAATGTATGTACAGATTTTCTTTTTAGAGATGTATCTCAAATAGAAAATGTATACGTACGTCTCGTACTATGCGCCATTTTGGTTCAGAATTGGGATTCAATATAGCTTGTCTGGCTACACCGAAACTCATAAGCACAACTAGCAAAAGCACCACAAAATATATCATATTTTTAACCATCTTTCCCATCATTGTCACCAGAGGACCTATAAAATATAAATTATCGAGTATTACATAGCTATGAAATAATTAGATTATGTAAAAAAGTGTTTTGTCATATTTAATTATTTGGACGTTGATTATATACAGTCAATGTGCAAATTTATTTATAGCTTTGTGAAAAAGCAAGCAAGATTGAGTTTTAATTTAATATTTTCAACGTACCAAAATATTTATTGACACCAAGGATGTTGAGTATTCGTAAGTACCAGTAGATGCAATCAACACAATATATGACGCGACCTACATCTAAAGTCGAATGTCGTAAACGCAATGCTAGTCCAATTTGGAAAAATATAATAGCAGCGGCATCGCAGGGGTTCCACATGTTCCATGCCCACACGCTGAACTTGTGCGAGAGCGTTGCAGGTTCCGAGGTTGCTATCTCGCGTACTTTTTCACATCCGAGAGTACAGATATATGCAATCGCGTATATTTCGGCTATCGACGGATGATCGTCCATATGCACCAAAATGCAATACGAGAAAAAAAGTAGGAAAATAATGTAGGCTATCTACAAAAAAAGAAATATTTTTATCGCATTACGTTTTGTTATAACCGTTTATATATAATAAACATAAATATAAATATCTACACAGATAAATACATATAATTTCATACATGAGTATTAAGACGTATAAATGTTTCTACTTACAGCGTTTGCCCAAAATTTTGTTATTGGAGCGGTATAGAACTCGTATAATTTCTTTCTCAATTTTAACGGTCTGGTTGTTTTATTATCGTAATATTCAGATCGAAGACCATAAGCGCGATGTATCCCTTCATCAATATCCGTTAGTACTTTCCCATTCTCTTGGACAATCGTCTCCTTGATTATCGTGCTGTGTTCATTGCTAATCAAAGCCTATAGAAAAACATAAATAATTTACAAATATTCGAGTAAATTGTTCATATACTGGAAAAGACATTACATACATATAAGTTTCTCAATGCATGGTTAAATGGATATCAATTGATATCAAACTTGAAATGTCTAATGAAAAGAAAGAAGGAAATTTAATTCAGTATAATATAACGATTATTCACGAAAAAGTAGCATGACATGTAATAGAGATATATAAATTATAAATAAAGACAAGATAATAATTACTATCTTTGCTTAGACAAGATAATAATTATCAAATGTTTATAAGATGAGTAACATTTACACATTTTATAAGACATGAAATTAACATTTGTCCTTAAAATTTACATTGATATTAATAAGCAAAAAACGAGGATTTAATTTGTCAATAAGCAAATCTTTATATCTCAAATTATATATATATATATATATATATATATATATATATATATATATACTTGTATACTTGATTAATTTGTTATAGCAAATAAAAATAAAAAAAGACTACTTCTCTCAAACAACAATAAGAAATTGGAAAATTACATAATCAATTTTCAAAAAATATATTATAGTATAATCAACTATAATATATTTTTATGGATTATATATATAAATATAATTCATAACATAGTATGTATAACCTAATAGTATATTTTTTACATAAAAAGTTGTTTGTACAAAAAAAATTAAGATTAAAATTTTTGCAAAGATAAGATACTATGTATACGCCAGAAAAATTGTTTTCTTTAGTGCATTAAGGTGATCCTAAAGCCGTGATCCTAACCGGTTTTTTTCTTAGCACTAATCTTTTAATTGGCTTTATAGAAATACACAATTCTTGTCTAGAATTAAAGTACGCATCAAAATCTAGGTCATGGTGGTCGAATTTATAT